AGGGGACAGGGACGGGTAAGGTTAGAGGAGACTTGGGGTAGGGGTGGGGTGCTGGTCCCTCCTGGTGACTTGGGGCAGGAGCTCCCTGCTGGGTTTCTCTCCGCCCAGGACTAGAATAGGGTGCCCTGGGGATGGTCTCAGGAGATGGTGGGGGGGTGCTCCACCTGTCTCCTCACTTGCCCTACTCTTGCCTCCTAAGCCCGCTGCTCCTCTCCTCCTTCCCATGATGCAGCTCTGCCTTCCTGCTTCACCCTCTCTGTCCCCCCTCCCCCCCGAATGTCTTTTAATCTCCAACCATTCNACCTTTCTCTGCTTCCACAGTACCTTTGCATAGTTCACACAACATCCCCCGTGTGTGTGAGCCCCGCGGAATAGCCGCTCGGGCTGCATCAGTGCGCAGGAGTCTGCGCTGACTCAGGGCTGTTCCCGATGTGCTTTAGATTCTTTTCAGTAACCCTCACGTGTGGCTTAGTCACTCCGATCCTGAAACCCACAACCATCAAGAAAGCCCTTCCCAGGAAAACATTGACCAAGTGAGTGAGAGTCATCTGTCCCCTTCCACCTGTCCGGCCTTGGGTGGGATGGGCGGGGCTGAGTCCATCTTGGCTCCCTGGGCTCCTGGTGTGACGTAGGCCCGTCCCAGGGCCCAGCCACACACCGGCAGTTGCTGAAGGTGGAAGGGGAGCAGGAGGAACAAAGCACTGGAGCTTCTTGGTCCACATTTGTTCCCTTCACATGAGGACACCTAGTACCTTGTGGCCGTGTGGTCAGTGGCTCTGGTAACGAGGTTGGGAGAGCACTTTGCTGAGCCCAGGAGCCTGTCCCTTTCTGAGATGACGGGGCACTGGCACATTGGTGCCAGCCTTCCTCCGTGCTTCCCAGGCTAGTCATCTGCACATTGGTGCTGGCCAGTGGCGTGTACAGGAGGCCAGTGGTACATGAGTGCGGGGTTTTATAAACATGTTTCCTCGATGACGAGGCGTCCCTGCTGCTCACGGGGGGACAGGAGTGTTGAGTGTGTGCCAGCTCCGGCAGCCCAGGCCTCTGCAGTGGCCGCCACCTCCCTGTGTTCTCCCCCAGCTGGTGTACATGGGCTTTGACCTGGTAGCAGCGGAAGCTGCCCTGAGAGTGTTTAAGGGAAACGTGCAGCTGGCAGCTCAGACCCTTGCTCACAACGGAGGCAGTCTCCCCCCTGACCTGCAGCCCGCGGCAGAAGACTCACCGACACCAACCACGTCCCCTTCCGATTCTGCAGGTGGGTCTGCGGCCTTGGACACTGAGGAAGGAAGCTGAC